AGTCTGGGAATTAATAACTTCTGATGTCTGTATTAGACACGCCCTGGGGATGTAACCACAGCTTCAGTTTTAGTTTTTGCTTGAGCACATGGTGGGTGTTCAGTGGGCCTGGGTATATGTGTGTGTCATAGTTCTTATGGATTTTGAAACATTTGACATTGCTGAGGTGGCACTTTCTCTGAGTCCTTTTATTTAGTAAAAGTGAAAATAAAAAGCAACCACCAGCCAAACTGAAATTGTCTCTATACATCTCTGCTTCTCAACGTGGGCCTGAGGTGGGCTGCTAGGAGTCAGGATATGCTGTTGTTGAATAAAAGTATTAGAAAAAAATCAACTCTTATCTTAAGTGTGGACAATAAACTGTCTTTAACTTTGTTTTCAGATGACAGTAAAGGCCATTAAAAAAATACCCGAGTTGTAGTGAAGTGCTCTATAACTCTTTTGTACTATTTTTTAAAGCCTTTGCAGTGTAAGAGTAATTTTTCTTTCTTAAAGTAGATTTGAGGCTCCAGATCAGGTTTGACAAGTTTTTGTTAAGTAAGCAAAGCCCAGGGTATCTCATGAAGTATTTATAAAAGAAAATGTTTCTGTGAGATACCGGCCTTTTCTGACAGATTTCGTTCTCATTATCCTTTGGATGACCAGCGAGAAGCAGCCCAGGGCACCGCACTCGGAAGGAAAGGGAAAAGAGCCACCTCCAAACACAAGACCTTCTCTCTAATTCCCACGTGGCCATCAGCCAGCTGGGCACACAGGGCTCTTCTGTCCCATCTCTGGGCCTCTGTCTTCTCATGCCCTACATGGGATGACTCCTTCTTCCTTCAAGTCTCTTCAATTTTGTATTCTCTCAAAGTACTGTAGCCCAGTGTTCCAAAGAGGGACGATAGGTACACACAGGTAACCAAGTTGCTGCAAAGCAATCACTGGGATTCAATCAAGCATATTTCAGGCCCTCACTTTGTGATTCTCCGGGATGTAGCCATCTTTGTGACTAACTCAGAATACTCTCGAACACATCAGATGGCTGACTAACTCTATTCCCAAAGGTGGTCCAAGTGTCCCTCTCAGGACATCAGGCCACTGTTGGAGACTTTAAATTCTGGTTCTGACCTGATGCGGTGCTGAGGCAAAGCCCTGAGGATTCTCAGGATTAAGGGCGTCTTGTTACAGAGATCGATCAACAGAGATGCCCTTTTACTTTGTGTACAGCAGAGACCAACTTTGTTCCTACTCTAATTCCAAACAGTGGAGTGGCAGACTGTCCTCTGATTTATAACAAACCGAAGGCGTGGTCCCTCCACTTGATGAATCGCTGCTTTGGGTTCCTTCCTTCTGAATATCAAGGTTTGGCTGGGTCATTTAATACTCACGATTTGAGGTCATTTCTTTACTGGGTCATGCTCTTCAACAGGTAGCCCTTGGATTCAAAGAAGCAAAAGAAGAAAATAGTTATCCTCTGTTAAGCAGCCAAGATGCTGGACCTAGAGAATTGGACATAGTCAATCATTAGTTTCTACCTTAAAACTTTAATTATTTAGAATTTTTTTCTTGATTTTTTAAATGCTGACTTGTCCATTGAACATATATGCCCACCAGAACCAAGGAAAAGAACCAGAGATGAATATGTCTCAATCAGAAACCGTATTACAAAGAGAACCATGAAAATATCTATCATGACCTGGCTTTCTCTTTCCTGAGGGTTTTGGTACTAAGGTGTTAAATGCTATATTGATAGACCATAAGTTTTCCAGAGGTTTTTATTTTCAAGAAAGAAAAAATGTAAATGAAAGCATAAACCAATATTTTCTAGACCTCCATTCTTTCTCTCTTTCCATTGCCCGGATTTCTTTCTTAAAGGATAATAAAACTTTGTAAATTTTTGTAGGGTAAAATTAAAAGACACGGTAAATAGAGTAGAGAGAATGCTCTGAAATCAGATGCTCAAGTTCCCACCCTTGATTCTGTAATTACTAAGTGGGTCTCGGGGCAAATTACTTTTTAACCTTGAGTTCTTCAGCTGTAAAGCTGGTGAAGCTTATCTTAAATACTCATATCGTAAATTTGTTATGAGTATTAATTTGATGCATTTGAAGTGATGACACAGAGCATAACACATAATATATACCCAGAATAGGCACATAAATCCTTCGACGATTTGGCCAAAAATGCACTTCAGAGGCAGTGGTGAAGACAACTCTGTGAAGACTGGATGGGTATTGGCAGAGCCCCTTTGATCTGGTACTTACAGGAAAGAAAGGGAAGTGTGGCATGCTGTATTTTTGAATTCATTTTCTTGTCACCACCCCTTCTCCCTCCATCTTAGTGTGTCACACTTTGAGCCACTGTGTGCCCTAAACCCCACAGTCCAGACATTTTCAGTGAACCATTGGACAATGGTCCTACGTTGATGACTAGCTCTTATTGTGAGCCTCCAAGCTCCAGCAGTTTTCTGAGTGTGTCATGCCATGACCTGGCTCTGTTTAGCCTCAGAGGCACCTGGTCTGACTGCCAAGAGCTGCATGCTCTGCCAAGAGCCAGGCAGCAGAGCTGAGGCTAGAGAGAGCCAAGATAAAGGAAGTCAGGACCGAATTTAGGCTGGAGTAAGACTGGCCACTGGCAAGAGTCTATCACAAAGAGGCCAAGTAATAGCTGCGGGGGAGGATAGGTGGGAGTCAGGAGCCCGGGGCAGGTAACAGGTCCTGGGAAGAAAGGAGCCCTGGAGGTGGGACGTGAGTCAGTGGCTGGAGAGAATGAAGTCCAGGCCAGGAGCCGTGACAGCTCCTGGCATCAATCTAGAAAGTAAGGTTAAGTAACATGGACCTTGAGCCCAAATTGACTCCTTTATCTGCTGGAACTCCCTTTTCACCACTCCCAGTTTATGAGCCTGGATCCTGGGTGTTCTGTGCCTCAGAGGGCTGCTTCTCAAGCTCAGATGCACACAGGAATCCCTATGCTACAATGTCTATGCTCACGTAGTAGATGTGGGTCTGGCTCAATGGTCTGCATTTCTAACAAGCTTCCCAGAGATGTAGATGCTGCTGGTACAGGGACCACGTTTTAAGTGGCAAAGGCTTAAAAAACTGTTGCTATTTGCTCTTGCTAAATCCACAGGTCTGCTGTTCTGGCTCCCATCAGGGCTGCTTCCTCAGGGTTAAGATGAGAAGAGCATTGGCTAGTTCAGTTCTGAGCCCCAGCAGCTAGACTTTTGATCAAACTGGAGTCCTGACAACTCTCATCTTTTTTCTCCTATGACAAAGCAGATCCTCACTGAATTTAATATTGGCAGCAAAACCACACTGAAGCCTGGGGAATTCATTGGCCTCTGATGCAATTGTGTTTCCTGGGCAGAGATGTTGCCCCTGAATGCTAGTCCATCACGCTGCCTAGTCAGGGGCCTCAGGAGAAGCCAGGAGGACCTTGACCTTAAAAAAATGCCTGATTTTTTTCAAGTAAAATATCACATTTGTCAATTTGTGGCATCTTTTATCAAAGGAAACCTTTTCCTGAAACCTTTGTTTTTATTCTGCTATTATTTTTGAATGATATAAAATAAAGATAAATCCTTGTTACTGAGAGTAGGGGCCCGATTTAAAGACTGTGAAGGGCTTAGTCAAAGGACATATATAGAAGTTTCTTTTTTTAATTTTTAATGTCACTCATTAGGCATGAGGGTTGAGTCTTGGATCCAGAAACAGAGTGAAGTTACCCAAACCCTGTATCTAAGTGCTCCATGCATTTGCATTTTGTCATAGGTTCTTGAGAGAATGTGGTATAGTTAATACATGTCTGTCCTCATCAGAAAGACCTGTAAACTTAGACAGTGGAGAATCAATTAGAAAGCATTATCGTAATTCAAAATATGATTTTCAAATCGACAGACTATGGCGCAATGGCCCTTTACCCTGGCAAGTATTCCTGGTTGTATCTTTAGAAACCAATGTGTATGTATCTGCAAATTTATTGTGTTATTTTCTAGAGATTCAAAATGCTTTCTGGATTTAACTTTTTTGCCAGATTATCTTCAAAACTAAATATGAATTATAAATGAAGCCGCTTTGTTCAGAACAACAAAGAGTAAGGCTGTGGATTTATGTTGTTGGAGACCAAATTGGTATTCCAAGCCCAAGCTCTTTTGCTGCTATCTCATTGAAAAGCGCTGGGTAGACATTTAAAGATTTTTATACATTTTAATTCAGCTGGTCAGTTCATTTAAAACCACATTGATTTTTTTTCCTAATTCCTTCTTGGTCATGCATATCATGTTAAATATCAAAATGAATTTGAAAGCCTTTGAGGTTGTCTTCATCACAGGATATTACATTCTTGGAGGGGTTTTCTTTTCCCCATGCTAATTTTCATCACATTGCTGTCCCTTTCATTTCCCCTCAAGCTTTAGCTATTAGGGATTATTATTTGTGATTTTCAGCATCTATCTCAATCACTAAACAATTAAACTTTTATCAGGCAGGGCAGTAAGAGACTCTGTGGCTAATGATGAGGTGGGAAACTCCCCTGTACAACCTGCTGGCTCATCTTGGAAGAAGAGTGTCCTGCCAAATTATCTTTATGTGTCCATGAATAATGTCCTAACAAGGATGATTGGAGAGATGAGCAGACAGGGCAGTTCTAATGGAAAGAGTGAGAGTAATATTCACCTTGGCGAAGCATTATAACACCTCGACAAGATGCTAGCCGTCTGCGCTGCTAAATTGGGTGCATGTAAATCAGCAGCCCCTGTAGCTGTCTGCTTTCTTACAGAATGAACCAGGAGAGAAAGACTATACCTTTCAGGATTTAGAATTTCTCATATGACCATAAAATAATGGCAGAGAAAAGACCCATTTAACCCAGAGTTCCATTAACCGGGTGAATTGATCTTGAATGTAGAAGTAGTATAAGCAAGCAGGAAGTGATAATCTCTACCCACTTTTTAAATTCTCAGCTTCAGACTGAACCTTGAAGTAACTGACATTTTTGCTCTTGATGTTTCCTAAATGCAGAATTTCAGAGTGGGATATCAGGTCTTTAGTGTGAAGATACATCGATATTAGACCAGGAGTCATCAGCAGTGACATTGGGGCAGAAAACATTGGAAAATTATACAACTGTGAAGGTTAATCATGGAAATCAAAGAGGAAGGAGCGTCAGAGGAAGGCCAGCACTTTCTTCCCACACCCCAGGCAGATGACACTGGGGACTTTCAGTTGACAAGTAAGTATGTGTGTGCCCCCCCTTGGGACTCTGACAATGCACACTGGGTGGACCAAACACACATGTGTGTGCTCACAGAAACTGGGGATCTAACAAATGGCATGCGATTGACTAACTCTTTTTCCTTCACACTACTTATTTTGGTGTTGTGAGTCTATGAAATGCTTCTTTTTTATTTTAGAGGGAGAGAGGAAGGAAGAGAGAGGGTGAGGGGGGTGGAGAGAGAGATCAATGTGTTCTACTTATTTATGCATTCATTGGTTGCATTCAACCCACAAGCTTGGTGCATGGGGACGATGGTCTAACCAACTGAGCTACCTAGCCAGGACTGCTCCTTTATCTTTTATCATGTTCTGTGAGTTAGATGATGGTCCAGGAAACCACTAAATATCAAATGGTGGAATCACAGTTCTTGAATATATATTAAGACTCTAACAAATACTTTTTAAGCACACCTTCTATTTAGCTTTTATATAATGTCATGTGAAATTGTTTTGGAAGCAGAGACGTTTTTTCTCTAAAACCAAACACATATCACTGGGAAGCATTAGGGCAAAACAGTTGCATTGCTGTCCCTGCCTACCTGGGAGCACCAAGTCCCAACAGCAGAGCGAGCTTGGAGATTTGGGCCTAGCTTATATCTCAACATTGTAATCCGGGTTTGTACTGTGCACAAAATTAAAATTACTGGAAGAATTGTATGTTTCCTGTGTTTAAAATTCTAGAGTTTGGGTTTATTTTTTAGCATGAATTGTATCTTTTTCTTTTCATTTCAGAAGATTCCTTTTTGCCCAGTTATAAACACTGGCAAATATATGCCTAACCTTTCATTTAATTTACATTATAAAAATAATCTTTAGAAAATGGTATTGGGTGCATTTTTTGAGAAATTTGGTTGTCAGAGTTTACAGCAGAGTTAATTGTTAATAACCTTTAAAAAATCCACATTGTGTGGAATGCACAAAGGCCAACCTGGTGATTGTCATTCTTACCTCTCTTGGAAAGAGTCATATTGTTAGCCACAGCATTGTTAAATGTCAGCAGGGGAAAAAAATAAAATGGTTACCATGCAAACACTGCGAACTCTTTAAATGAAAATAATGAATGACTTTTTTACACTAGGAGGTGACTCTACCAATATATTAGTGACCAGATGCTGTAAAATTTAAATTGTATCTGATGAATCCATCAGTAAAACTAGACAAGGGAAGGATTTGTATAAAATTCTTACACTTACTGCCCAATGGTTTCTTTTCCTATAAATTTAGTTTTGGCCATCCACGAGTGGGTACAACAGCATCCCAGTTCTCCCTGACTCTTGTTCAGGAAGCCCCCCATGTACTGGGTGTGGTCCTTAGGCACCCACCTGCCCCACGGTCACTCACCACAACGTGGCCCGTCTACCTTTACCCATCAGATGTTCCCATTTTCTTCCCTTTGTCCTCAGGCAACCTTTTCCTTCTACTTCATCCTAAGTCACTGACCATGTGATTAGATTTTTTAAAAATCTCCAACAAAAGACATAGAGGCATTTAATAGAATGTTGATTTGAGCTATCAGTAAGTTGATATTAGTATAATCACCAGCATGATATCCTTTATAAACTAACTAGAGACATCCCTTTAATTAATAATTTACTATGTATAGCAGATTGGAGTGGTTTGGAAAAAAAAAACACTCTAGATAGAAGAGTACTTTGGAGAGGGCATTCCTCTTTGAAGGTTCCATTCCTATCTATAGGCATCCAAAAGAAACACACAGCTAGAAATGTTTTATATCAGTCACAGCTTATAAAAACAATATTTCTGATATTGTTATGGCCATGGAGTGAGACAGATCAGTCAAGTCTTTAGTCGTACCTTGTTCTGCTACACAAGGGTCCTTCCATGACAGGTTGCTGTGTATGAGTCTGAACAACGGAGTTTATTCCTCCGCCCAAGTGTGTTAATATATTCCAGGCAGGGCAAAATATACTAATATTCAGTGGCATATTTTTGATGATGAGTTAAATATCTTTAACCTGAATTCTTACCATTTTATCTATAGGTATTCAGAAGTCACCCAGTGAACCACAGTTGGAATTCATTCTTGGTAAGAAATCCCATCTTTTTTATATCAATAAATATAATAATCTGTATATGAAATTTTACAAGTTTTGAAAGTACATTATTTATATTACTATATATTTTATAATCTTTTATGAACATTGTTGCATTAAACATTTTTTTCTATAAGGTAAGTGCTGTTTTCTGAATTTTTACATACAGTATCTGAGCTGAAGCCTAAGGTCAGTTCCGTACCCCGAGGACATAGGGTTCAGTGGGGACAAAGGTGGGCTAGTCAGCCAAGTCTGGGGACCACAGATGTGGTGCTCAGAACTCATTCTCACACAGTGACTGGGGTTTGTTGCCATTCAGCATTTCTGGAAACCTGTGTGTCTGCTTATTCACTCCTTGGGCTGGAGACTGACTCAATGTGGAGTCTTTGTTTTCCTTTATAGGACTTACAGGGTTCTTGCCCCAACCGGTCTCACTCGCTCAAAAATATCCTTTTATTCTTCCTCTTGAATATTGAATTATGCTTTCATTTTGAGGCATAAATTATTGATAAAAATAACTATGATTTTTTGTTTTAATAGTTTGTTTTCTGTTTTTAAAAGACTTTAAGAGCAGTTTTACGTTCACTGCAGAATTTATGAGAAGGTGTGGCGACTTCCCGCACACCCCCTCCCTCCACACAAGCACAGCCTCCCTCGCTGTCAGCATTACCCTGCCCGAGTGGTGCATGTCTTAGAGTTGATGAGCCTACACCGACGCGTCACTATGGACCAAAGTCCATAGGTTACGTTGGATTCTCTTTGGGTCTTGCACAGTCTATGGGTTTCCATCATTATAGCATCGTACAGAGTATTTTTACTGCCTTCGAAATCCTCTGTGCTCCCCCAAGTCATCCTTCCTTCTCCCTTAATCCCTGGCACCCACTGGTCCTTCTACTGTCTCCACAGTGTTACCCTCTTCAGAACGTTGGGTAGCTAGAATCATAAAGTATGCAGCCCTTTCAGATTGGGTTTTTTTGTTTTTTTTTACTTAATGTTACTGCATTTAAGTTTCCTCTATCTATTTTCATATCTTGGCAGCTCATTTCTTTTTAGTACTGAATAATATTCCATTTTCTGGATGTACCACAGTTTATTTACCCATTAGCCTATTGAAGGACATCTTGGTTTCTTCCAAGTCTTGCCAAATATGAATAAAGCTGCTATATACATCTTGCACAAGTTTTTGTGTTGGCATAACTTTTCAATGCCTTTGGGTAAATGCCTAGGGATTCAATTAGTGAATTATATGGTAAGGGTGTATTTAGTTTTGTAAGAAATTGTCAGACTGTTGTCCAAAGTGGCCGTACACCATTTCACATCCCCAGCAATGTATGGACTCCTGTTACTCCATAGCCTCACCAGCAGTTAGCATGGTCAGTATTCCTGATTTGGGTATAATTTATTTTTTAATATTTAATTTTTATTATGTATGTAGCTAAAAGGTGTAAGTTAAGGATTCTAGATTTTTTTTCTTTTTATTTTCTTAAGTATTGAGAAACAAGTATGTGGAGCTTCAGGAAACTTCAGTGGTAACACCAATAAAGTCATACTTTTTCCTTAGAATTCTCAGACACAGAAAGAACCCGCTTTCAGAAAGGGAGCTAAGGAGCGAAGCCACCTAAGCATCTCTTAACTCACTGACTGTAACTCTTACTCTTGAGTCTTCATCTAGCCACCTTTTATTTGTAGTGAAAAAAATCATATTTTTAACATTTTTGACAGGTCATCTGAAAAGTGAAGATTAGTTTGAGTGGTTGGAGTGTATCTCAAGGCACAGATAAAGCCCTCTTAGTTGCACCCTGGAGAACCGGGGTAGCCTGAAGGAGGCAGAAGCAGTTGTAGGGGAGGATGCTGGGTAAACCTGGTGGTCAGCTTTCAAGAAACAGTGTGTCTGGACCAAATCCTGGTCTTCTGTTTCAGTTACCGGGCTCTGTCTTGTTCAAAGACCTGGCTCTGCTGTTTGTTTTGAAAGTCCAGTCGGGTTAATAGCAGTGCTGTTGTGGCTTCTATCTCCAGCTTTGGCTCATAGATCTAAGAGATTTCACCCCTGCAAGAATTGATTCAGAATGATCATCTTCCCATTAAAAAAGAACAACTTCAAATATCTTCTTTTATATTTATTCAAAAAATACACTAGTTCTTTTTTTAGCTTATTTTGTTATCGTTGTTCAGTTACAGTTGACCTCATTTCCCCCCATTACTCTTAACAGTAGATAATTTTATCTTATCACAGGGCAAGAAATGTGTAGAGATTAAACAGAAGAAGGTTATTTATAGGCTTCAGGGAATTGAATTATGGATCTTGAGAGATACACTCCCCAAACTCTTTGTTATGTTTCTTAGCACTTTGAGACTATTTCTTGAAAAAGAGAAAACTTCAAAACTACTCTTTCAAGGACACAATAGGTTTTACTGTATGTCTTTCCAATTTTTTTCTTTAAGTTTTTTAATCCCACAAATTCTTTAACACTTCATCATTATATAGTTAACTTCATTTCATGAGGAATAGTGAGGGAATAATAGTTACTTAAATCTTTTTTATCGTTGTTAGAAAATTGTGCATATTTATTTTATTAGGAAAAATTCTTAATGTCTTCAAACAAAAATTTATTTTTGTTTTAAGGCAAAAATAGAACAAACTAAGTAGGGAGCTTTTTCTACTTATTTTTCCAACTAAATTTTTGATACTTGATTCTCAAGTCTTTACTTGAGTAAAGAGTATTCAAATAAATTGAGAAGTCACATTGAGAAAACGACCACTAATTTTGCTAGGTGTCATAGTGCTTCAGATAAGTTATTTTCTATTGAGGATCTGTTTCTGCCTTGTCCGTATGCCACTGTAAAATGACTCTCTTGCTGAAGTTCCCCTGCCAAATCTTTATTTGACTAAATGAGGTAGGAGATGCTTAGTTAATTGAGCAAGCTAATTGGGTAAAAATATCTTGCTATGCCAAGATAAGCATGTACTAAAAAAGTGAATATCTTATGTCCATTTTCAACTACATTTCTCATGGTTGGATGCCTTTAAATTACATAATTCACCCTAAAACTGCACTTGGCTTCCACAAATCTTTCATTGTTTCATTTGAGTATATTGAAATCCAATTATTTTCACAAAGGGAGAAATCCTTAAACTCCCCAGAGAATACTTATTTTCATTTTAACAAAGCTGGCATTTAAGAAGAGAAATATTTCTTAAAATCTGGGTGCATTTCTTTCTTGAAACCATTATTGAAAATGTATTGAGAAGATTAATATTGACAGTGATATAAAAGAAATTGCTATGAACTGTTTCTCAAGTTTATCCGTCTGATTATGTTTATGGTCGTGTGCCTCCATTTACTATCTTCAGAATCAATAGAACATTTTTAAGAATGTGTTTTCATATCTTATGTGGACACCACATATATCAAAAATTCAAAACTACAGGCACTAATGTGATGTGTACCACCCTGGAGTTCAGTGATTAAAATTCAGTTTTATCACAGTAGGTCATGGTCTAATGACAAGATGTCCTTAGGTAGGTGACTTCAAATATTAGAGTGGTTTTAAATGAGGAGGGGTTGTCCTCTTCGCCTGTTAAGGCTTTGTCCAGGAAAGTGCTGATTCTAAGCACTCTATGCTCATCTTGGATCTCATATTGGATTATGTGTACTGATTTTGGACTTTGTACAGGCAGCCTCTTTACTTCCAATGGCTTAGTCAGAAAAGAAGTCATGTAAATTATGCGACCAGTTCTCTGTCACATAATGGGTATTTAAATGTGCCCAAAGTGGTAAATTGTAAGAGTTGGTCTCACCTCTTTACGGTCACAACTTGTAGAGCTCGCTGGAGCCTTCATTAAGCTGTTTGTCTGGTCCACTTATACTTTATGAATTGCTATAAATGGGCTGTTGTTTTATATGTTTCTCTGAAAGAGGAAAACTCTTTGGAGGCCAAACTCACCAATTCTCCTGTGTTCACACTTTTCCTTCTGCCGATCTGTGTTCTCTAAATGATTATGAAGCACTGACTTGTTTAAAGCCCCAGCGGGAGAGTGGATTTTAGGATGACTGCTTTAGTATTTTACCCTCTGCATGGTATGCAAGGCCAGCTGAAGGGAGCACCAAGCACAGAGGGATATTTTCATGTTTAATCTATTGATAAAAACATGACTTCTTTATACAAGATAATCTTCAAGCAACCAGAGAAGCAACTGCTAAGAATGAGACAAGGCCTGTGCTGGCCCTATTTTGTGGCCTTGTTACACATTTATTGCTCTTTTCTTGATTCTTAAGAGTGTGCTACTTTCCTTACAAAATATTTCATTCCACTTAACAATAGTTTGGGGACAACTTTTCTCAATAACGCGTTGCGTCAAGCACTGGGAGGGTGCAGCAATAGCGTAGTAAGAGCTCTGTTTTTGGAGCATCTTAGCCTAGGTGCTTACCTCCTGACCAACAGGAAGATATGTTTTCCTCTCCACACCCTACAGGATAATAACATTAACAATAACTGAGATTTATTGAGAGCTTACTTGCCCACAATACAATGTTCTATATAATTTTTACAGAAATTAATTACTTTAATTTTCACGATGAGGTACTTGCTCTATTATCATCCTTGCTTTATAGGAAAAGAAACTTAGACATGAATAGGTAAAGTGAACCAGTTTGAACCAGGAGATTTGAAAACAGCATGCTCCCCCATATTATCTGCACCTGAGAAAGGAAAAATCTAAGTTTCCTCATGGTCAAATTTCCAGACATCTGATGGAAGTGGAGTGACAGTGCGGGTTCAAGCTGTGCTGTGCCCCATTCTGAGGCTCCTGCTTTTAACCCTCAAGCAGTGCCCTCTCATTATTGACCCCTGCTTTTTAAGGGTTTGCAGGAGGGGGTGAGACAAGCTGCAAAGCCGGACAGATTGGAATCAGGGCAAAAGAAAGACATGCCTGGATCAATGGAAGGATGGCATAAGAGTGATTAAATATAACTGTGGCATCAGACACAACCTC